GTGAGAGACTGAGAGAGTGAGAGAGAGAGAGGGGGAGAGTGTGTGTGAGAGAGAGAGCGATAGATCGACATTTTCAATGAAAAAGACATTTGTCACTCACAGCTCAGAGGACGACAGTACGGAGGGGGGAGGGAGGGAGGTGGGGGGGTGCAAGTGACTTTTTCCTCCACCCATCTGTGAGCCGTAGGAAGGAGGAGGGCTGTAGAAGTCAAATTAGGAGAAAAGGAGGCGGTGTATACTTGTGTGGAGCCTTTTACTACGATAGAAACCTGCACAAAGAGAAAAGGAGGCAAAGTAGGGAGTCAGGTCTGACCGTTAGGGTTGGACGAGACTAATTGGTTTCTGTTACTAAACAAAGGCAGCAGCCAGAGTAACTTTATAACTTACCATCCACAACAGAGTGGAGAAAAAAGTAGTTTTAAAAAAAGGGAACACAGAGAGAGGCCTTTTTCCATTCTTTGAGAAGACACAGTCTACAAGTGACGTAAGTAATTTGAATGACTTTATCAACCTTGATGTACACACCATTGTGTGTTAACATGGCAGCGAGTGTGAGGAAGGTGTGTGTGACCTCGGTGTGTGTGTGTGTGGACAAGAGCAGGACTGACCGGCTGCTGATAAAACTACACGTGGCACGAGACATCACACTAGGACTGGTACAACGACTGATGTGTGTGTGTGAGAGAGAGAATGTGTTACAGGTAAAAAACAGGTGTGTGAGAGAGAGAGAATTAGTGTGTTACAGGTAAAAAACAGGTGTGTGTGTGTGTGTGAATTAGTGTGTTACAGGTAAAAAAACAGGTGTGGGTGTGTGTGAGGAAGTTTTAAAACAATTCTTCAGAAGAGCAACTGTAATGGGCTGAGTGGGACCGAGTTCCCGTTCATCTGGCCAGGCTTTTCCACTGGTTCCTTCCTTCAACTGGTCTATTATTATCGCCGCTGCTGCCGCCGAAGATAACAAAACTAAAATTAATGACAACAATTAAAGAATGATATCGTTAAGTATCGATTTTTAGTTTGTTTTAGTTGGTATGGTTTGACCGGGTTAAAAACTTTTTTTCCTCCGTTGTAACCACATACAGTTGCGCAGGCATGTCTTTCTGGGAATGATGAAAAACTTGTGGCACCTTCACGGACAGACAACAAAGTAGGAATTTCGCAATAAATTCTTTTTAAATTCGCAGACGAAGTCGACATTTAAAAAAATACAATGAGAACATTTTAAATTATTACAACACAACTGTACGTAGTGCAGTTCAAATTAATTTTATCCACACAAATTTACAATTAAATCAGAGAAGATGGGTTAAATTAATCAAAGTATATATTGTCTATAGTGATTATTGGATTTAGAAAACATGTTAAGTCTTTATGTGCACACCTTTCATTCATTTAACCCCAATTTCACAACACAGTCTTAGTCAACATTTTTTCATTTTTAAAAAATCACATCGTTTTTTATTACATTAAAAAAGAAGGGAACTCTATTTAGCCTATCTACATATTTTAGAAAGTTGAGTTAAAGATAATTTATTGATAGTGAATATTATAGCAAACCCAGATAGTGAAATATTACTGACCAACATCTGGCAAACAGCTTTATGGAGCTTTATATTTTTATTATAGAGTAATTAAAGATGAAATTCAAAGTATATAATTTTAGGGACCACATGAAAAGCTCTACCTCCATCCTATCGGGGACAGATGAATACCCCCTTTTTTTTCAGATGAATGCCACGACAACGTTGAGTAGGTTTCATCCACAGGCTACCACGAAATGAAGATAAATGAATCAATTAAGCAGACAAAAAAGTCATGCATAAAACTTATCCAATTAATTTCCCGAATTTTTTATGTGGGTGATATAATTACTTTTATTCATATAATTATTTTCTTTTGAATTCATTTTATAAATAAGATCAGATCAATTAAACTACTCATACCTGCCAAACAAGTGGTCCCATATAAGTATTTATAGATGTCTTGTGGGGTCAGTGAGGCTAAAAGCGGCAGATTTTCAGGAGGGTCCCTGAAGGCAGCAGCAGCAGCAGGCCGCCCCGTTTCGGAGGTAACCGGAGCCCAGGCTGAACTCATGCAGGCGGGAGGACAGCTGCTGCTCTGCGGCCTGCCAGCCCACGGACGGGCCTCTTCTCTGGTTTCGGGGGTTGTGGCTCCTCGGGGCGCGTGTGGTTTATTTTCTTGGAAACTTGTGAGAATAAAGAGTTTGTCCTATGGCTCTGTATGTCGCACGGAGGTGGACAAACACGAGTGGTCCGGGTTAAAAAAACATCCCTGCAGGGAAAAAAGAGCAGGAGTGTGACTTTTACTGCAGTGTGTGTGTGGAAGGCGCAAGAAAACCGAACATGGAATGAGTTCTGAACGAGTTCTAAAAACATCCATAAGCACACACACACACAGAGACGGTAACAGGTCTGATTATACCAGACATAGCATGTAGGATGTTTTGTTTATAAATCATAGATGTGTCTCCATAGTACATGCATGGCAACATTGCATCAGTCAGTTTGGCGTTCAGGTATTTCAGGAAACACTCTCCATGTATGGTGTTCCATTCAGTTAGGCCCCTCCCTCTGCTCACACACACTCCCAAACACACACACACACTTCACAGTGTTTTAACAGTGGTTCACAACCCTTTGCCAAGCTAAAAGTTTCATGTTTAAACTTGTTTGCAGGCCTTTGTTTGGTGTTGACTCTCGCCGCGTCTGACTCATCATTATGAATTGGTTTGACTACTTTAACACAAAAGCCACTGCTGCACCGAGCTGCTCTGTATGATGAGACTATAGGAAAAGTCACTGCATGGCGAGACGTGGAGGCAGCATGCAGTGAATCTCTGAGTCTCTGACTTGTCTTGGACTCGCGTGTCGTCTCCGATCAGGCCGTGTGGTCAACAAGAACTCGATCTCTCAGGAAACTTATACCGCGGTCCTCTCTGTGGACACACACACACGTGGTTTTTCAAATGGCACACTGCATGAACAACATTGTCTCCTCTTGAGGAGAGTGTGTGAGTGTGTGATGTGTCTCATCCGTCACGCGTTGATACTGCAGCCACTAATTCAGTCCATGTGACAGTGTCCTCCAGGACAACTGTTGTCTCTCCTAACCTCTCTGTACACGTGTAAACAAATACTTTCCCCTGTGGCTTCGACAGCATGATTTACCAAAATAACACAATACAATTTGGCACTATGGTCTGTCACTATGGTCTGTCACTATGGTCTGTCACTATGGTCTGTCTGTGAAGGATGAGCAACAGCCCAAACTTGATGATGTTCACATAATCAGCCGTGTCTGCACGCAGTTTTGTTGAACACAAATATTTTAATCAAATAACAGATAAGAATAAATTTGTTAAGTCACACGGTTCTTATAAGGACAGGGCTTTTTGCCTGGATCTGTGTATTTATCCTCTAAATAAATTGGTTCAAGGAGTGCAGATTACGTGGTTAATATTCTCAGGACTCTACGTCAAATTCCAGCAAATTTGGTAAAACCCAGGCATTGTGTTATCAGATCTTCATTATCAGAGGGAAAACCAATATTATATAATTATGCTAATAATTGGATATCCCTAGTTCAAGTCATTGTTGAATTAATTAATGGATTCAATCACACCTGCTAACAGAAACACACTGTTTGTATGTAAAGGTGAACACTCCATGTTCTACCGCTGCCCTCACCCTACGACTGCTACGATTGGCTCCCGTTTCTACCACTGCCCAGGTCTGAGCGGTAGACGGTGAATGAAACGGCCAAGAGGCTGTTTATTATTTGTTCAACATTGGAACAAATCGAGTTCAAAAAACACTTTGAACTGTGGTATTGACACAGCTGGCACTGCCAGTTGTTTTGGGCTAAACTTCAATTTCACAGCTTTGTGTGTATGCCTGTGTTTTTATGCATTTTTTTAAAGCAAAGTTTAGAATTAGTGTAACGTTGTTACTAGACATGTGCCGAAGACTTAAGTTTGTCCAAGAGCCTGAGAAGTGCATCAAAGCTTGGAAAGTCCTCAGAAGTCCCAGTGTCTGTGCGTGTGTGTCTCGCTTGTGTCAAGTGGGTCTCCATTGTGTGGATCACTTACTACAGAAATCCCTCTTTTCAAACTCACATTTGTTCACAAAGTCGGCTCACTGGTCTGTGGATAATCCCATTACACACGCCCTCCCTGCGCCCGTACACACACTAATGGGCACACGCAGAGACAAATCTGTCTCATTAGATCCTGTTAGATCTCTACACACTCTCACACAGATGAGATGTCCTCATTAACTCTGCTGAAACTGTTTCCGCTAAGGATAAGAGTGAGCGCACATTTCCCAGGCTCCTGTGTTTTCCACTTCTGTCTAAACACTGTAGCTGCTTATATTTTGGGGATTTCTTGCGTCATGCACCACATTTTCCAGATGTGTGTGTGTGTGTGTGTGTGTGTGTGTTTCTGTTGGGGTGGTCATGACTGGTCTTGTACATTGGTCGCTTATGTCGTGGGTTATCATGGCCGGTCATGTTGTGTGTGTGTGTGTCTGTATGTTTGTTTGTACTTTACTGACCTGGCTGCATTGGTCACAACACTCAACTGTCTGCTGTTTTATTTGTGTCCTATTATTACGCAACAGCTGAGTCACCATTTGCTTCTGTCCCAGACAGATAAAGTCAAAGCCTAAGTGGGGGCTACCTGCTGACTTTCAGGCCGACTCTTGGCTGCTTTCACATGGAAATCTCACCTATTTAAATTGTGGTTTCTACCTTCAGAACAAATGCAGACGGGGGTTGGGAGTGGGGGGGCTTCAGCATTGTTTCCTCTACTCACATCAATGAGGGAATGGCTGCACAGTGAGGGGACTGATGAGGACAAAAAAAAAGTGTTAGAGACCCCACTGGGATTTACAAAATAGTGATGGGTCACATGGGTTGCATTAGGCAAACTGTGTGAAAAACGTCTCTGCAGTGAAGCAGACTGCGTGAAAAACGTCTCTGCAGTGAAGCAGACATAATGAAAGGGGTTTTGGCTGAAGTCGACGGAATGAACTTTTCTCAAGGTCTCCTGTTGGTCAGGAATCAATATTTTAGTAACCCATTACCACCACCATTATATAAGGAGTGGGGTTCATTTGTAGCATTCACTGGCAGTGAAGGTATGGTTTAGAGACAGCGGCTCTTTTGAATTGACCAAAGGCTGGGCTGGAGGTTGGACACGTTAACAAATGAGCAGCTCAGAGGCACAGTTAAGGTAGAACAGTTTGGTGGTGAAGTTAGAGAGGCGAGGTTGACAATGTTCAATGTGATGAGGACAGATAACAGAGATAATAGACAAGGTATGTTGCACTGGTTAACTGTAGAGGAGGCAGGGATTAGGGTGAGATGGGGGCCTATGAAGGGTGCAGACAAAAGAAGAAGAGAAGAAGCTGGGAACCAGGCAAAAATTGACCAAACATGAATTTTCTTAAGAATTCCCTTTTCAGACTCTAATGAGTCTGAAAAATGATGATAAAATCTAAAAATGTATACGCTCAGTGTTACTTGACTGTCCTCCAAAGCTTTCCATTAATCAGACCCTTTCCTTTCATCTCCACCTCAGAGCATCAACAATGGCGCCCTCACTTGTCCAGGCCTACAGAAGGCGCTGGTGGATGGCGGTGACGGCAGTGATTGAAAACCTCCTGTGCTCAGCCGTGCTGCTAGGCTGGGGCTCCCTGCTCATCATGCTGAAAAGGGAAGGGTTCTACTCTCACCTGTGCTCAGGTAAAATCAACATCACTGTTACTGAAACTTCTTCTTGGGCCTTAACTTGAAACTAGATTGATTGAAGGCCTAAAAAGTATGCTTTCTCTGCCTTGTCTTAGATTATACACGTTTCCAACATCTGGGTATTGGACTAACCTTCTTTGCTTGTTCCTACAGAAAACGACTCAGTGGTTGTGTCTTTGGGAAACTCCTCGTCTGGAGAGTTGGAGGAGTGGCTAAGCTGCGTGGACCAGGAGGAAATGTTGAACCTGGGATTCACCATTGGCTCCTTCTTGCTCAGTGCTACCACACTACCCCTTGGTATCCTTATGGACAGGTTTGGGCCACGCCCCATTCGTCTGATGGGAAGGTAACAGTTGCACAACATAAGTTATTATTTTATATATAAGACTCGTCGTGTGAAAAAGCGTACAAAGATGAGATTCAATTCAAGTAAAAATAATAGAATTCCAAGCTGCACATGTAATCACCAAAGGTACAACAGGAAAAAGTAAATAATGATGTCTGCTGGTGTGTTGCTATTAAACAAAGAAAAGGTTTGTTTTCATCTGATGACAAAAAAATGTTTGTAGCTTGAGGAAACTAAAGCTATTTGCACTTCAGGATTATTTCAAGTTCAAATTTAAGTCTTTAGGTTTTGCATTATTTTTGGTTTGCCTTAGAATAAATAAATACGCTTCTTGCTTTTTTTTTACAGACTGTAATTTGAATATAGTGACAGCCAGATGTGGTTGAAGTACTCTATAAATGAGCCACGTTAAGGTAATTATTGCTAAGTGTCACGAGGCTACATGCCAAAAAAATTTTTATACCGCGTCATCAATCAGCCAAACTGTGAGTCAGTTAAATAAATGTTCTGCGTTTGACTAAAAGAGCTGATAGATCACATTTCAAGGTGGGTGGAGGGACATGTCTATTGTGTTTGAGTCAATGAATGTAGGTGGGGCACAGGCATGTTTGTAAACAGTTGACATAGTAGATAGTAAAATTCATCTGAGTGTGAAGATACTTATACAGGGCTAGCTCCAGAAAAGATGAAAAGAAACTGTCACTCATACAGATTTCCTGATTGATTATTGTCAGATGCCAGAATTCAGGTTCCAGTTGGTAAAAAAAAACATGTCCGCTTATTATATGCTTCAGAACAGAAATACTTGATTATTTAGTATCAGATTGTGAAACGAAGCAAATAAGTGCCGATAAGAGTGTCCTGTTTACTCAAGCATGTGTGTAATTGAATCGTTACACGAGATTAACCTTCTGCCATTTAGGCGAAATTAATGCTCAAACAGAAAAGAAAAAAAATCAATTCGCAGCAAAGTCGATTCAAATGTTAATTAATATCATTATTCTGAACACCAAACAACAACACCCAGGCTGTGTGGTTAAGAATTGAATAGGTGCTAGCTCGGTTGACGCAGTTCAAAGTCAACATGAGTCATTGCTTGCATGTTTACTTTTAAACCAGAAAAAAAAAATTATTACAGAATGTGCAAATAAATAAACTGTTGAGCTAATTTGTGTTTCCTCACAAATCTTCATTTAGCCGCTACTGCGGTGCATTTAGACATGTGAGTAGAAGATTAGCATAGCAGTGCAAACATCAGTGATAGAGTCTCCATCTTTGTTCAAGTAACACCCTTTCTACAAACAACACCGAGCTAAAATTGCAGGAGAGGTAATAAGTGAAGATAATACTGAACAGTGTTAGCCTTTAGTTAATAGGCATAAGTGAAGCACGTCACTGCCATACACTGAGGAAATAGAAAGTGGGATTTCCCATTCATACTTGAAGTAGAGCTGGAGCTACAAGTAGTAGAACAGAAATGTGTCACGTGTTCATGTAAGCATAGTGAGTCACTTTCTCACATGCACACACACACACACACAACAACAACTTCTCAATACATTTTATAAATGGAAGTGGTTGAAGTACAATTTACATGTTCTTCCCTTTTTTTTGTTCTCTTTCTGTGTGTTTTTACAGCTCATGCTTTGGGATTTTTTTTTGTTCTCTTTCTGTGTTTTTACAGCTCATGCTTTGGGATGTCCTGTGCTATGATTGCTGTATCTGCCTACAACCCTGAAGGTAAACAACAAACACAAACAAAAGTACACAAACTATACTCTCTAAAGTATATAGTTTTCAGGAAAGACATTTCATGTTGTGATGTCATGTCCTCACATGTCCCATCATGGCAGAGTGTATTAGACTTTTCAGTTGACTGAAACAGGGAACTGCTGAACAGCTCATTTCACAGATGCTAAGCTTCACTGGAAATCGTTAGTGCAGTGAGTGTCAAGGCTGTGCTGTGGCATGTGAAAGACACAAAAGACACACATTTGTGGCTATTTTGTTTTTAACATAATGAAACTATTTCTTTGTCCAATACAAAGTTTGCAAATGACGTCTAAGTACAAATAGGCAGCCTGTGGAAGGGGACTTGCTTGGTCACGTGTCTCTGTTTCAGCTGTTTGTCCATTTTTGTAATTCTTTACTTTTTGTTATACAGCAAATTTAAGTACACATGAGCAACAGCCAATGACGTGCATTCTTATCACTCTGGCATTGTCAAAATTCCCACTGTAAAGAACTCAATTCAACTCATCGTTATTATGAAGCTAACTGTGTCTTACAGTAACTCACTGCCCTGTAACACTTTGACTTTCTGTGTTGCTCTTCAGTCCTGTCAGCTCTCATCTTCCTGGCTCTGTCCCTGAACGGTTTCGGAGGCATCTGCTTGACCTTCACCTCGCTCACGGTGAGACACAAAACAAACACAAACAAACAAGACAGATCTCCGGGTTGACATTAAATCATCACATGAACTGATATTATAACACGAGTTTGGTACCAAACCTTATTCTCACCGTGATGTTTTGTATCAACTATTGCACGTAAGGGCCAACCTGAAAGGTGGAGGCAGCGGTGGAGCTGTGTGACAACAAAGACGGGAATTTAAGTAATTTCATTCCACAATGATTGTCGCAGCTCTCACAGTATGTACTTTATGTGAGCACTCCTAATGATAATTGACAGGGTGTCTGAGTTCATTTACCGTAGATCTTTTGACCAGGACGTGGTGTAATGATGTGATGTGGAAACGTCACAACGTAGATCTTTTGACCAGGACGTGTTGTAATGATGTGATGTGGAAACGTCACATGAGTCAGTATTTGATGTCACGTTGAAAGAATCTCATTAGAACAGTGGTTGACACCGTGTGTGTTTCATTTCTGTTGGCATGGTGGTGCAGCTGGTTCTATTTAATGACAATGTAACAGGGACAGATATTTGTGACGTCACTGTAATTCTGAGAAACTGAGCAGCGACGTGTCGGCGATTTTGTTCCAGGAAGTTTTGGTAGCTGAGAGCGGCAGTGTGCCGTCGCCCACTGTTTGTCTCAGCTGAGACAACAGTGTTTGTGTTGCGACAGGGAGCTGTGTTTGTGTGCCTTCACGTGAGGCATGTGTGTCTGCTGGTATCAACACAACTAAAGGGTTTCGTCGTTGTCACCGCCTCCTGTGTCCGGACAAGTGTTTGATTTGCACCGTGACCACGGGTCAGTCAGGTGGTTGTGTTTGTATTGGAGCTGCACATGACTTTTCCAAGATGGAAAGTCTTCCATTTGTGTCCACCAATGAGAGACGGCCACTGACCACACACCCTCCCGAGGGCTCAGCCTCTTCACCTCTACTCACGACAGTCAAGGCCACAGTTTTTCTCCTTTATCTCCTCACTTTCTTCTCACTTCCTTCCTCACAGTCCTCTCTTCATCCTCTCCTCTGGTTTCTCTCTTCTCTGTGGCGGTCGGCAACAGTTCGCTGTGAAAACGTTTTCAACTCTGCGTGACTGCGCACACATGTCAATGTATAAATATGTGTTCACATTTGTGAAACACATGTTTGGATAAGGAAGGGTTTGAGCCGGGGGTCATCCGTTTCAAGCTGAGTTAAATGACCGGCTGCTTTCATCTGTTTGTGAGTGAAAAAAGTTGGACGGGCACCTGTCTGTGTCCCTCTGAGGACGGAAGGTTCAGTTGATACGACTGTGATGAGTCAGCACTATTGTTGTAGACACGGCACATGACAACCTCACACTGTTACGCACTAACTGTTCCATCTATTATTGGGAGGCTCTAAGTATTTATCATGGTGTTTTTCTATCTAAATATTCCGCCTAGATCTGGAGAACGTCTCGTTAACCAAAATAAATCTAGTAAATATTTCTCTCACACAAACCACGACCCTTGACTTGGAACAAAACTTTAGAACTTTAAATAAGTCATGTTTCCGTGACTAATAGTAGCTTGGAGGTACTGGTACTCTGACTTTCTAGTTCCGTTTTCCTTTAATTAACAGGAAATACAAAAAGTTGAGTGTTCTTCAGCACAAGGACATTCAACGTCTAAGCTAACGACCTGGAGCTTCCACTCCTATCCTGTAATGCATGCATCAAATCATTGGGAATCATGAGTTCTCCCTAAAATAAGCAGGGAATTGTTCCTCATCTGCCTGTGTTTAAAAAAAACATATTGTCAATCACTATTAATTGATTTATGAGGATTAATATTTCATTTTCAGTCGTCTTACCAACAGAAGTTAAATCCTGCACAGCGTTTATTGCAGTACAGTCAGTGTGTGAGTCAGTGCTTCTGTTTCCAGCTCCAGCACGGACACAGAAACACACACACACACACACACGTGGCAGGTTTAAATTGAAATGGCTGGTAATTAAAGGTCAGTGTCCTTGTGTGTCTCTCTGCTGGAATAGAAAGTCACACTCACTGAAATACTGTACACTCACACAACATTGTGATTTGTGACCCACTTGTCATGTTTTGTGTCGACTCTGTCACCGTAAACAGACAGTTGTTATCTGGTTTGTTTCACCTTTGATTTGAGGTGAATTATAATATTTTAATCATGATCAGTATCTTGATACGACTGGTATAAAAACTCCACCAGGCTGTACAAACAACACACTGCAGCTGCGTCTCACTGATAATAATGTATATATATATATATATATATAATAATTACTGTTATTATATAAAATTGTGAACAGTTTTAAAGCAGCCTTCAAACCTGATCTATTGTGAACGGTTTTAAAGCAGCCTTCAAACCTGATCTTTCCATGTGGACGTGGTTCACTTTAATAACACAGTTAATTCATAAACAGGTTTGTAAGGTTATGACAGTTAATTCATAAACAGGTTTGTAAGGACGGACAGTCTTATATTTTCCCCGCAGCTATTCCTTATCCCAAAAATGACTAAACTCTTGATTCCTTGTAATCGCACCCTTGTGATTTTCAAGGTTATTCTAGGTCATGGGTGCGTCAGCCACGGCATGAGAAAACTCCGCCATGCGTTTACTGTCAGTGATGTGGGAATGCCCTTTAACAGTACTGGCTGCATGCAGGGGCCTGGTTTTACACAGGGCTGGTCCCTGTCCCACGTGCAGCCTTGGGTGTCAGGTAGCAGCACAGACAGCCTGAGCTGCTCTTAACTTTGCTCAGCATGGAAATGGAGAAACAGAAAAAGGTTGAAGGTCAAATAAACCGTGGAAACGTTAAAGTGTGAGTCACAGATCATCAGACAAAATACTTCTATGTCACGTACAGTTGAGTACAAAATGATTGGGAAAAAAAAGATATTTCATTTTGCATAAAGAAAATAACAGGAAACGAACTCCAAACCTTCTAGAAATAGTGAGGTTTGAAAACCAAACCTCAGTTTGCGATGTCGTATCGTGGTTGCGTTACCAACTCTCATAAATGTATTCAGAAAGTCTTGTCTCATCATTCTGACGTACGGCATTCAAACGCCAACCAGTTTGCACGACATCTAGTCGCTACTGAAAACATATTTTCTGTTGTCAGTCTGTTTCAGTGCAGCTAAATATCAACACTGGGCCACTAATGTCAAGTATACATTCTGTTGCTCCATTGTTCTGTTCAGTGGGAGGCACATTTTTGGGGTGGGGAGAAGAAGTCACTTCTAATGAGCTCTGATTGAGTATTTTCTTGCTGGGAGCTGTGGGAGGAGGTCCAGCTGTGGCGAGGGCACAAAGGAAGTTACTTCCACTATTCCTCATTCGACATCATCGTCATCATTACTTACACATATTTGTGCCCCCGTCCACCTGTCTGCCACCAGCTCATTAAGTCTCTCTTAAAGTTGTTGCCAAAATCTCACAAACCCCAGAGTGAGTGAGCACAGCGTGAGTACAGGCCAAACTGATGAACTGTGACAAGTGAACGGGCAAAGCTCCGTGCGTTAGTGACTTCCTGACACCGTTTCACCCTTGTGTGCCTCCGTACAGTCAGTCACGTGTTTCCATCCACCTCTCCTTGGCAGAGCGAACATGCAGGACATGTGCAGCCAAGTCATTTGTGGAACACATTCTGTGGGAACTTGCCCGGACACTGAGGCGGGAATCTCACCTGCTGCTGGCACACGTGCTTCCAACACATGCACAAACACATTTCACGTTTCTTTCCTCTCGTTGTCTGGCTCCGAAACAAATCATTCACCTACGAAGGCAAACATCAGGAAGCTGGCATCTCACACGGCTGGAATATCTTTGCTTTGACATTAGCAAGAGATGCAGACTCCCCCGTGTGCACACAGGGCCCTCCACTACATTCCTCAGTTCTGCCACAGTTCTGCCACAGTCCGGCAGATCGCGGCCCACAGATGTGCTGTGAAGTTTTTCGATTCTCAGAAGCGCTGAATGAGGATGGGTGTTCTTCTAGAATGTTTTTCTCAGCTCAGTCAGACAGTCAGGCTCTCTCCCCTCCGGAACATCCTCAGGAAAGCTTCTTTTTTCCTGTTTACCTGCCAACCACATTGTTGTGTCAGCGCAAAATGACCTTAAGCGTTCCCTCACAGGTCAGGAGAAGAAGACGCAAGAAAAAAAGAGAGAGTAATTCAATATGGCCACCGGTATCTGTCGAAACCGTAACTCAAATATGTTATTTACAGTCTGGTTACTGTCTGTGGTTCAAAGGCCCTGGTCACGAGGCAGGTGCATCATTGTTTATATAAATAGAATCTGGTCATTAGAAGAATGCATACCGGTCCTAGTACCAGTACTGGGCCTAGTTATTTCATATATTGATCTGGTGACTTGATATTCTGTCATTTTTACTCGTGCGTTGTCATGTGTTTCCTGCTGCTTCACTGTCCCGTTGGCCTCATGAGTAGTTTATTTAAGTAGGTCAAGAATGTCAGCAGTTTGAGGTTTGTTTGTTCGTTTGTTTTTTAATCAGTGACAAAAACTGTAGGAAGACGACGCTGCAAGAATCTGTTCTACTGAGAATTCTTTAAACACACATCCAGAAAAAATCCATTAAGCAACAAAGATGTCAAGAAGTCGGAGTAATGATGGCAAAGAGTGTAATCTGTCTCCTCCAGGAGCAGAAAACTACACCGGCCCCTTCATTAGCTACACGAGGTCGTCAACGAGAAACAACTAAACTTGTTGTACGACTAACATGAAATCCCCCACATGTGATTTTTTAATCACGACTGACCCGTTTATGGAATACTCCAAACACTCCAATCAAAGGGGCCCGAGTGGAACAACAGGTCATTGTTGTGTTGGCTAAGCTACTTACTACTGTAATGAGGTCGATGTAATATTTAATGCTTTACTACTGGGCTCCGGCCTTGTGTGATGTATAGCAGCGTGCTGAGTTAGTCAAGAGCTGCCTATAGGTCTGCTTTCATAACTTTAATCCTGGTTCAAAGAATTTGTTGTAACTGCAGGAAAATGGAAAAGAAAACTTAGAGTGTTGCTGGGTGAGAAGATAACTCTGTGAGTGAGAGGTCAGGTCACAGACTGGGTCAGGAGTTCTGGTTCTTGTTTCCTGTGACATGGAAACTCAACATGTTTGAATGAGTCAGCACAAGGAACCTGATTAAGAGCGCAGCAGTTTTTCCGAACTGGCTCGTCTGGTTCATAAGAAGCAGCTGCTCCCTCTGCTGGTCAATATTAGTACACTACATCTATTCTAAAGTCAATGTACTTTCGTATTATTTGCATTTTTTGTATTTTCAATTTACAATAACCTTTACATTTTTTGTCGTTACAGCTCCCTAACATGTTTGGCTCCCTGAGTTCCACAGTCATGTCTCTGATGATCGGTTCCTACGCTTCGTCTGCTGTCACTTTCCCTGGAGTCAAGGTTAAAAAAAAACAAACTTCAATTAAATTTCCAAAATTGCAGATGTTTTTAAGTTATTTAAATATGCTGTAATATTTTTTGTTGGCAGGTGATTTACGATGCAGGCGTGTCCTTCCGGGTGATCATGTGGATGTGGTCAGGACTGGCAGCGTCCGTCTTTCTTAACTGTTTTATAAACTGGCCTTCTGAAGGTTTCCCCACACCTGATGAGGTGGACTACAGGTCAGTGGTGTGGCCGTCTGTTCCTCCTTCTTCTTTTCAAGCTCATCCACATTAAACTGCAGGAGGCCCAGACATCTTTATTAGGAATACAGTTTGAGGACCTGCCTCCTTCTTCTGTTTAGTCAGGACAGATTTTTTTTATGACTAAAACATTTGAACAGTAAATTAATATATATAGTACGATTTCACACTGAGTCTGTGTGTGTCTGCGCGTGTTTGTGTTCAACAGTAAGATCGAAACCCTGAAGGCGGTCCCTGTCTCCGAGGAGAAGACTGCAGCAGAGAAACTCAGCCATAAGAATGGAGACGTGAGACACTCCACGGAGAAGCTTCCCAACGGTCCTGAGGCTGCAACCAGTAAGTCAGCAAAGACCCATGCCAGTACTGTTGGCTTCCTCCTCCTCCTTCCTTTTTTCAGATGAAGTTTTTTCCTCACATATTTAATCTGACTTGATTTACTTTCTCTGCAGATACCGTTCCTTTCCGCCGCTCCGTGTTCTCTCCCATCTTCCTGTGGAGTTTGGTGACCATGGGAATGTCCCAGTTGAGGGTTATCTTTTTCATGGGGGCGATGAACAAGATGCTTGAGTTCATGGTCACACACGGTGACCCTCATCGTGAGTATCCATGGGCTGGTGCTTTAAAAGTGTGGGACGTTATCACGACTTGGATTTAAATCTGACTCTTTTTTTTTCTACCTTAGCATCCGATGAGCTGGTGATTGAAGCAGAAGAAAAAGGTGAGCTCTCGTCTCCCTCTGGTGGATTCCTCAAAAGTCAAGACGCTGAATTTATATTTGAATATACAAATGTTTTCTGTTCCAGTGAGCTTCTACTCCTCCATCTTCGGTACCCTGCAGCTGCTGTGTCTGGCCACATGTCCTCTGATTGGTTACATCATGGACTGGAAGATGAAGGAGTGTTTAGAAGAAGGCACCCCTGCTGGCACAGAGCTCAGGTAACCACATATGAGCCTAAAGCAGATCAGCTGTGTATTGAACCAGCTGACCCCTGATCATGGAACTATGGCTTTTCAACACATGTTTTTTTTTCCACAGTGTTAGACAGAGCAGTGGGCCCAGGAGAGTTCGTAAGGTCCAGAAAATCACCAACGCCATGAGGGCCTTCATCCTCACCAACATGCTGCTGATCGCCTTTGGATGCTGCTGCCTCATCGACAGCCTGCCTCTGCAGGTAACACACACACACACACACACACACACTCTACAACACTAACTCCAGCTCCTAAAGGGCCTAATCCTCATCCATCTTTCTCTTCTTTAGATCCTGACCTTCATCCTCCACACCATGGTCCGAGGCTTCCATTCCTTTGGTGGAGCTCTTTACGCTGCTGTGTAAGTCCTTTTATTTTCCCCTCCCCCTCCTGCAGGGGGCACAGATTGAGTCCACAAGAGTTGTTACCAACCTACTCTGATAGCTTCCAACCACCAAGTCTGAGGCAGTTGTTGATCACTTTGGGAGCGACGGAGAAAACGACTCCCCATTGCACTGAGCCCCTACTATTCTGCGGTGCTGTACACCTTCGACTCTGTCCTACAAAATGTAACAATTTAATAACTAAATTTTCTAAATTTCAATGCAGTACACATTTCTACCCTTAAATGAAAATGTATGGGGAAAAAGACAACACAAAAAGAGGGCAGAGCCACTGCACCTGAACACATCACCATGTTCGATGAATGACACTGTACGTACAGAGAATTGAACTGGTTTAAAAGTTGTAGTAATCGTGCAGTGTTTTACCAACAGCTACCCATCCAACCACTTTGGTACCCTGACTGGCCTGCAGTCCATGATCAGTGCTGTGGTTGCTCTGCTGCAGCAGCCACTCTTCATCACGATGGTGGGACCACTCAAAGGAGATGCATACTGGGTAAGAAATCCTACGGTTACCGCAAACCACCGACGACACACAAGTATTTAAACCTCATTTAACATCAATAAAGAATCAGTACAAGGTTAGATATGGGATCTAAAACGATATATATATTTATACATATATTTAAATATTTTATTCCTTTCTGTCACAAACAGGTATCGATTTATGTCCTCACTGTTTGAGTATGCGATCATTTTCACATTGTTCGTTCCCGTGTCCTTCAGATAAACGTCGGCCTCCTGATCACCTCCCTGAGCGGCTTCCTGTTGCCTGGTTATCTGTTCTACTACCGCAGATGCCTGGTGAGAGAAAATAAGGCTCGAGACAAGCAGGCCGGAGCTCAGGAGATGCAGGCGCTCAACCACACCGAGGCAAACGGCGTCAAATCCCACAACAACAGCCTCCCTGCTGTAGAGGCCTAGAGAGCCCAGCACACAAACCAAGCCACAGATAATCATTGTTTCAACAGTCCCAGCAACCTTATGTACCCAACAAACCCCTAACTGACCCCTCCCCCACACCACAGACGATGAGACGGGAGAAGACGTGTCATGTGAACGCATCTGAGCTGAGGTGAAAAAGCAGAAATTAGTGTGATTTTTAAGCCATGAATGTCAGTCAGTGTCATAAACACGCACACACACCCCAGGACGGTCCACTGTGCGTCAGGCTACACGGTACTTGAAACACACCTTATCTCAAAGCTCTGAGATAACCATTGTGATCCAAATGCTAAACAAAACCAAAGAATGTCTTAAAGGTGCAGTGCATAACTTTACTACTAATATAGTATCAATTATTTTGGTGAATTATTCTGCCGCTGTTTTCTTTGTCTGAAACCACCTCTGTGGACAATAATAAATGTGTCTGAGGGATAAGTCAGTTAGAGTTCATCTGATAAACTCTAGGGTTTTTAGAAAGAGCAGCCTATTCTGCTCATTTCTAGTGCATTTCTTTGTGTTTTAGACTCTGTTGAACCTGTTGTCTTTTTGCTCTCCTAGCACAGTTGTTGGGCTTGTTTCTAACCACAGTCAGTATTACAGCACTCTGTGTAGAGAGAGGACACAGTCATCCAGTTGCTAAATGGGTTCAACTGGTTGATGATTTTATTTTTGTAAATTGTTTTTATGTTTAGAGTAAAATGGTAGATTTCTTTTTCCTCATGAAGGCGGTTAGCTTCCTTGCTAACAACAAAGAGGGAAGAGAAAATACTTTGGATACTTTGAATACTTTAAAGTTGTTTTTTTTAATCCTCTTTGATTCTGAAATTTTGACCAATACGAACCGATACTGTTCCTGAGTATCGAATCGAACCATCCCAAATTTACATAACACTACTTTGAAAACCAGTTTTTATCTACTGAGATTTGCGACTGGCTTAGCTGTGTCCATGTTGTAAGTACAGTGTAGGTTCCGGTCCCTTCCTTACTGTGTGCGGCCATCTTGCCCAGTGCTGCTGTTGTGTTTTCACTTCCTTCCCTTGGTATGGACAAGAAGCCAATTATTTCTATGTACAGCATTAATGTCGCTGGACGACAGGAGACACTAAAACTGGAACTGACATTGGCTGGAATACGACAAACCTTAAAGTTACGCACTGCAGCTTTAGACCTTTTAGTTCAGTTTATATTTCTACAGAATATTAGTTATATTTTTGCTCATTCTGCTGTATCCCTCAGGAAATAGCTTTAAACATGTATCATAACACTAACACAAACATTGGTAAAGCTTTGGATATGTAGGTAGAACACAAACAAACACAGGCTGGTTGTAGAGATGCTTATCTACCTCCGATTTCTTTTCGTACTGTCTCTCTCCAACCGACTCTGACATCACTGGTCACATGAGCAATATTAATATCTTTATAGAGTCAAAACAGCCCAAATATAAAATGTAATCAGTGCACGCTTTGACTCGTAATGTTTATTCGGCCCTTGTAGTTTTTTTTATAACAGTAATTAACAGTTGTTGAACACTTTGCTCTGCTACGTGCAGACAGACGAATGAGTGTGTGTATAAAGTGTATTTATACTCCTAGCAGAGTAGCATTGAAAAGGGAAGAAGAGTGTATTGTAGGTTGCTAATTACAAATGAAGATAATGATTTTACTGTGTACTCTGCTTTTTTTTTTTTTGTAGCCGTGTGTGATTTCTGGAGTTAAAAACTCCACAAGTTATTTTGTAAATAGAACTGAAGTGAGTGCTTGTTTCCTTTGCTCTACACACATATACATATATGCACGGACAATGGCTGTGGTTAAATTAGCTTTTGAATATCTTTATATATATATATATATTCAGCTTTTTAGCCATTGACCCACCTACTTGAGTCAACTTCTGATAAGAGAAACTTCTTCCAAAGTGTCAAAAATGTACTTCTTTATCTACTCTGTACATTTGATCTGCACACATTAAGGGTCGTATAGATTTGTTTGATCGATTGTAATCATTAAATTAACTTTTTTTTTTAATCGAGTCCATTTCAAAGTGAAGACAGGTTGGACAAGTTTTTCCTTGTTTGAAGCATTTCTTTTTTTGTTGTTGTTCTAATTTCACACTGTGTGTACGATGTTTGAATCAGTCTCTGACGACTTATTACTGTCCGTTTCAACTGCGTCTCGTGACACTGCCCAATGAAAAACCAAAGTCGGAATTCATTCTTGTAGTGCATGCACATATTACTGTATGTTTCACAAATTTGCACATGGTTAAATGTCACAAATTAGTCCTTGGACAAATAATGGTTGAGTCTAAGTGTTTGTTTGTTGACTTTCATAAAGGGTTAATCAGCTCATTAGTTGCCATGCTTAAGTGTACTTCTAATATTTAAAACGTTGAGAACATTTCAGCCAGTATTACAGATGATTATTTTTCAGTTAAAAAAAGATTTAACTAAGTATTTAAACAGATTCACCAGCAATAGTAGAGTTCCTTCCAACTCTGTTAATTACTGCCAAACCTGATTAGAAACACTGCCAAACTAAACCTGACCTAATGTGACTCCACTGAGCTGATTTCAGTTGTTTGTAACTAAGTTGTCACCATTTTTTTTCGCTGTGTACTAATATCTACGCTCTCACCCTCAGAGTTTGTTTCTCACCTTCTGTTATATAAACCTTTTTTCCCCATCCTCAATCAATGTATCCAGCTTGTGAATTTGAAAAATAAAACGTATGGATGTAACTGTAGCGCCTGAATGTCTTTCTTCACGACGCCCACATAATGTTTGTTAAAAAGGAGACACAAATGTTTATTTGATTCTGGCTTTACAGTCAAAAGATATTACAACAAAAATTGAGGAGGGACACACGTGCGCCACCTGCTGGGTCTTCCAGTGAACCATGCAGTTCATTGTCACATCTGTATGCCGATTTTAAAAAGTCTTTCCTTAATCACTCACATCCAGTGGGTCACAGCTCCTTTTTTTTTTTTTTTTTACACACTTGCATACATCACACAACCACTCACATCCTTCAACTCATGCCCTCGCTTATTAAACATGCTCTCAATAATAGAATTATGTGTAAAACACACACTCACGCACGCACACACACACTTACAAAATGCAAAGTCACACATTTAAACACAGGCTTGCACACAGTAGGCCCTGGTCTATCTGAGGCTGTTGCTGTTGGGTTGTGATCCAGCGAGGCCTGGATGGTCAGGACTGTGGCGGTTCTGGACAGAGAAAGGTGAAAATAAAGGGAGGAAAACAAAGAGTCCTGTCAATCCACATGAACCTGACAGGCAATTCATTTTACCAATGTGAGATAAAGTTTTAATATGCTTATGTTTCAAGTGTAGTAGAATAAAGGAACTCTTTAAACTTTGCAGCTCCTAGTCAGCTTAACAAAGCAAACACTGATAAAAGTAAAGCCAGTGATGTCATAGCCGTCCTAGAAAAAGGTTACATTTCAGCACTGTACTCACACCTAAATCGACCACTGATTGTCCTGTGGCAGATTAGATGCCATTGACCGCATCAGCCACTATGTGGCAGTGTTCCCCTTATTTCAAGGATCTCGGTCTACCTTCTTCTTCTTCTTGTCTTTCTTCTTTTTCTTGCGGTCAGGATCATCATCCCTTTTCTTCTTCTTTTTCTTGGGATCAGAGTCTGAAGGAGTTTCTGTGGCACACACAAATCGAATCAAAGTGAGTAAATAACATTTCTTTGTGTTTGTACACGGGGTAGAGTCCATGTTGTACCTTGTGGCAGTGGGTCCTGTGTTCGATGGTGTTTGTGCTTGTGTTTGCTCTTCTTTTTTGGAGGCTGTATATGCATCAGTCTGTACTGTTCTGGAAGCTGGGGTGGGGGGTTAGATAAGTGTTAGTATTGCTCTGACCAACGAGTTCAGAAAAAGACAAATTACATGCAGCCACAGAACTGTACTTAAATAACTGTTATGACTTTTGTGTAATTTTTTTACTATTTTCAGTGAGTTATCTTCAGAGTACAAAATCAGTAAGTACCGGTCCTGTATGTAGTCTGAAGCCTGTGAGTAAAGCGCCTGTCAGTGGGCTGAATGAGTTTCCACACACTGGAGTTTTGTCAATCAGAGAGCGCAAAGAGCTGCCGTCCTGCGTCCCTGGACAGTCAATCATACCTGCAGGACAGAAATGGAGATCAGTCAGGAGCTGAACTGATATGGATCCTTGTAAATGTATTAAAAGTTTCAGATGTGCACTGTATGGATATAATCAATCATTCCCAACACTAGTCTGAAGCGTGTTGTCTTTACAAGAACCCGACATTGAAAATGGTTGAAACCGAAGATAAAATGGTTCTGTCAAGTTTGGCTGCAATGTTAAGAAGCCGAACATTTAAATTTAGAATGTAGGACTAAGTGCATCCACACACACACAAAAAAAAAATCACACACACAAGCCTTTTCACATTTTTACTCAATATATGGTACACAAATAAATAAGAACAATTTAATGGCATATGAAGGATGAAAAGTAATTTTAATTTTCAAACAATAATGTCTCCAAAATAAGAGCATGAAAATAATTTATCAAAAATAAGGTAATATACAGTAAATATCCAGCTTAACTGTGTTTTTAGACCCACCTGGTAACTCTGGTAGAAAATTACTGAGCTTCTCTTTCACCTTCTTCCCACAGAATTTGTTGTAGGCGTGCTCCAGGTTGTAGTGTGTGATGAGGTTGGTGTTGCCTGTTAATTCTGTTCCCACTAATAACAAAAAACATCTTAAACAAGTGGTGATTTTTGCAGTTCAACATCCTTTGTCAGTCACTGGTTTATATATATATATATATATACTTGCTTGCCAGTCCCAAGTTATCCCCGTACCACGAGTGCCCACTGGTGGTTGTGGCACGCAATGTATCAGAAGGTGCTACAAAACTATTTCTATCCACAAGAGTTTCTGAAATGTGATCAGTTTACCAGGTATAACTCACTTTGGACTTTTCAATGTAGTTTTTAAAGTAGTTTAGAAATGTGTGGTTAATGTTAGGAATGGAACAAGGGACTATTACACAGTCCCTCACATGAAATACGTGAAACACGTCAGCATCCTTACTTCGATAGTGTTCTTTGGGCTTCATATCATCTAATTCAAACATCATCTAATTTAAACACTATCTGATATCTTAAAGGTTATTTGAGGTTTCACAGCAGCAACGAATTACAAATTACTCATTATCTTTACTACCTCAGTTGTGTTTAGTACGGTGTAACATTTCGAGATAGCTTCAAGATAATTCTACATTTCACACGTGGATAGTCAAAAATATGCATCAATTAAAAAAACAACTTTTATCAAAACGTGTTCTTAGCCTGTGCATGAATTTTGTCCACTAATGTCTAACGTTTCTGTGTTTTGACATGATACTTTTAAAAGTGACTGGACAACCTCCAAACATAGTTGCAATTGATAATTGCTATAAAAAAAGTTGTTAAATAATAGCTTTACAAATGTAGTAAATGTATATATATATGTATAATATAAAACACGTCATAAGAATGTATCGAATTAGACTTAAGTTTTAAAGTATTGTCTGACTTTACATTACTGATACAAAGTAGTGCGAATAACAAAGTTTACAGCAACTATGGAATTTAAACATTTTAACCAGACACGTCTGCATAAACAAACTAAAACACGATTTTCACCGAACTGGGTTCGATTAAGATACCTTTATTGCTCTACGCATGAAAAAGTGAAAAGCTAACAGCGTTAATTAGCTTAAAGAGCTAACATTAACTAGCACTGTTGACAAACTGCTAATAGAATACAAAAGGTTCTCTTTTTGTACACAATAAATTTCGTAAATCTTTTTAGCGCGGGTACAAGACTATTGAAATACCTGGTAGTTCCCGCAATAAGTAAAAAGGTTCATTCATGGCTCCGGGCTTTCGCAGAGGAGGCCCTTCATCCCCGTGCTGTGGTGGCATCTGCCCCGTTAGAGAGACCTGATTCTGCGGCAGAGGAGGCGGAGGCTTTCCCGGTCCGAAACCAAGCGATGAACCGGGCGGTCCCTGAGCATCATTTTGCCCGAACAAAGTTGAAAACATTTCCGTCATATCTATCACGAACAATACATTTAAAAGAAAAGAAAACACCGGTTCATGCCAGGTAATATTGTGTTATCGTGGAGCTGGAGCTCACAGTGAATCCATCCGGGTGCTTATCAAATACACCACTCTTTCTTTGTGGCATCATTTCCTCGAAGCATGTACCGTAATGCCACAAATAAAGGCGCACGTTGAGGTATTGTCAAATGCGTACGTTGAACACCATGAATATAACAACTTGTAATCACAAATGAGACTTTAGAACTAAAATTTAAAAAGTTTATTTTTAGACAAACAGTTCAGTAAACAATACCGCTATGTACAACCAACAGAGAATTTCCAGAATAGTGTCAGAATCACACGCCAAAGACATCAGCAGAGCAGAGAGCAGAGGACAGCTTTTCAAATTTGGCAGCAGATGCCTAGAAGAGAAAAGCAAAAAATAATAATTAATCTCCTTCCTATATGAAAGGTAATGTGGACTGACTGTTAAAGACAAGCCATATTTTGCAATTTAATGTGAGAGTCCAAATACAATCAGAAAATAAACATATTTGCATTTACATTGGCCTGTTCTCATCACAGCTCTCATTCTACTTACCTTCCACTCATCAACAACATTTGAGATGTGATTTTCTGTCCGAGCAATATTTTCTCTCCCAGCCTGAACCTTTTGTGCAAGTGCAGCATTTTCATCTTGGATCTTTTTCAGCTCCCGTTGCATATACTTCTCCTGCTTTTGATAGTAGGGAATCAAAAAACTACAAAGGTCCTCCTCGGGAACACCACTGGGCCGCCTGAGTAAAGATGTAAAATATATTATTATTTTATGTATTGCATTTAAATCTTTAAGTATCCCTTCAATTGCAATAAACACAGGAAAGTATGGAGTCCCATGGGGAAAACATTTTAGGGGCTCCATAAGTTTTGCTTACTAACCATGCAGGTTCTGTTTTGTTCTTGGCTGCACGCTCCAGTTTGTCCAGCTCATTCAGTTTGACTTCTAACCGCCCTTCTTCAATCAGTCTGTCAATGTCTTCCTTTACACACAAACACAAATACAGATATTTATGATACAGGGGACCTGAACATAATATTTATTTAAATTACAAGGAAGTAAAATTTGGTTAAACCATCAATAAATATGTTGTGCCACACACCTGAATAGCCTTCTTCACATCCTCTATGAACTGCTTATAAATGCTCTCCATCCTCTGAGGATTCTTGGTGTAGACTTGACGAAAGGTGCTGGCAAATCTGTTAAAGCTGAATATACCAGATGCCTATTTATTGACAGTACCATATACTAGTATACAGTATCTCTTTAAAGTAATTTTATTTAGTATTGTGTTCTACTTTTTTGCTCTTCTGGTTAGGGTCTAACTGCAATTGTCTGCCTTGTGACATTTGACATGTATAGTGACATGTCAAATCTAATCTAGTTTAGTCTAATTCACTGTACTCCCCACCACCAGTTAGAACTGAAGAAGCCTCTTGGATTAGAGGTGCATAACAGATTTTTTTTAACTTGACCATGACCTGGATGACTGAGAATCTTCATAGACATTACGTGATTAAGTTTGCTTTTACCTTAACATTCCCAAAACTAGTAATAAATAAATGAAAAAAGATCGTTTTGATCAGAGAGAAGTTCACAAACCTGGCATGTTCGATGAACTTTTCCAGGCTTTTTTGCATTACTTTGTTGAACAACTTCATTCGGTTAAACCGAGCCTTCGGCTCCTCACTCGGTTTAACAGCAGCCCCAGAGTCCGACACCACGTTGGTTACCTCTCCCGTGGACTCGCTACTTATTTTCTCATCGGTCTTTGTAACACTGCCCATATTTTCCTTCTCTTTGTGTTGCATTTCTTTAACTTCCTCCATCTTCTCCCTTTTCTCTCGTGTTTACGTTTTACATGACCCGCCAAATAACAATCTTCTTCTGTTTCAGGTTACTACATAATATATTGTTTCATTACCGCCCCCTACCGGTACGATAAACGGTAGCTCTAGAAAACTCAATCTGTTGACCCCCCCCCAAAATAAAAAACAAGAGGTCGTTTTTAATGTATTGTAATTTAACGAGGTACGTTTTTATCTGTTGGATTTTATTGTGTCCAGTGTGTTTAGGTTGTTTTTGTGAAAGTGACGTTTAACAAAACTAATACACTAACCTTCTTGTGATTCATCCCCACGTTCATTGCAAACGCTTTTTGAGTATTTAATGAAGCACGGCGGGGATTATCGCAGTCTAAACTCCTTAAAGTATTTTTCCTGAATGATTACTGTTGTATTTTTTTACATCCTTCATACATCTACGGCACCTCATTGAGAACAAAAATGTATGGTTGTATGTATATTGCGCATGCGTAGAAGAATTCGGCACCAGTCCTCGCTGTCAGTCTGTTGCTGCAGCTGCCGTTTCTCCTCCGACAGCATGGGTCTTATCACAGGAGTGTGTGCTTTCTTGTACCATTTGCCACAGATTTACAAATGGCTACTGAAACCCTACTATATCATCTCCTTCCTCATGACAGTGGC